GCTCTGGCGGTGGCCTCGTGGAGGGTCCCAGGGGCACTAGCAGCAGCCACCAGCAGCAGTACGGGCGTCTCCTGTAGTTCCCCCTGCACACCCTGGGGGCATCCAGGGGGTGGGGGACACTAGATCAGAGCCACTCGTTCTTTATACTTAAGTCATAACCTAGGACACCTGGGTGCATGTGCGCAATTACATTAGACAATAACCAAGGAACACCTGGGCGCACGTGCATATTTACATCAAATGCTCCGCAAGATTCTGAACATCTGAGGAGCCCTGACCATTTTCCTATATTTTCCCAGCAGCAGCATCCCCAGCAAGCAGCCTGAGGATACAGGACCTGAATCAGTGACTCGCTAGGTCCTTGTCCTTCCTAATGTTTTGTGCACAGCCATTTCTTAGGGTATTCAAACTGCCTTTTCACATATGTGTGACGTGTATGTGAAATGTTTTTTACAGATATGTTCCTAAAACATCCCTGAGTTCGCCACCTTGGCCAGAAATTGTTCTGCCAGACCCAGTTGAAGAGACCCGACACCACAGAGGTAAAAGCCTTTCTTGTGGTGACACCACACAGGTAAAAGCCTTTCTTGTGGGATGGAAGCTAGAGGGTAGCACCCGCCTCCCATGGCAGTTAGCCACAGAAAGGTCACCTGGCCATAGGACAAGGGTTTCCCATCTCTGGGTGCTCGAAGACATAACTTACAACACTGAGTACTTGTGAGCAGCTACCGTGTTGCAGGCAGGTGCTGTGAGTGGAGGAGGGGCCTCGGTCCACCTCTCGCCTCCTGCTGTGGGTGGAAATGTGGGTTCAGGGGCAGGTTTTCCCCGGCAGAAGAACAGCTGAGCGCAGCGATAAGTGGAAGCTGGCGCTGCCCTGTGTGCTGGAGAAACGGGTGTCGTGAATTGCGTCATCCCAGAGCAATGAGGAGGGCCAGCCACTGTTGCACTGAGGGAGTGCCAGGTCCTCAGGTCCCCAGAAAGCTGGAAATCCAGATTATGGAGTGGAATCTTCTTGTATTTTAAGTTACTGTTTCAGGTATCCTGCAAGATAAACAAACACACCAAGAGTTCTGCCCTCACTGCCAGGTGCAGCTTCTGTTCTTGACTCCGTGTCTAGGGCAGGAACTGTGTTGTATCTCGTATAACTTCGTATAATGTATGCTATACGAAGTTATTACGCCTGTGAGGCCAAGGGCAAAGCTAAGAGCATAAGAATTATAGGGAACTCGCTAACTGAACAAAACTAAGCTTTAAAAAAAAAAAAAAACTTAGCAGAAACTTGCTAACCGAGGGCCGGCCCGGTGGCGCACTGGATAGTGCGCCGCTTGGGAAGCGCGGCAGCGCTCCCGCCCGAGGGTTCGGATCCCACATACGGACCGGCTCCCGCTCACTGGCTGAGCGAGGCGCGGGAGCAACGCCGAGGTTTGCAATCCCGTTGCCGGTCCCTGGTCCGGTACGGGGGCAACACTGAGGGTTGTGATCCGTTGCCGGACACGGAAAAAGACAAAAGACAAAAAAAAAAAAAAAAAGAAACTTGCTAACTGAGCTTTTAACAATGGGATGGCTCCCAAGAGAGGTGCAAAGTTCGAAGTCACCGGAGTATTACAACAGAGACTTCACCTAATGACTTAGTAGAATAAATTTCATTTATTCATCATTTATTGAGCACCTGTTAATGTCAAACACCAGTCTAGGGTTAGGGGTACATCAATAATAAATATAAAACAATAATTCCTGCTTTTAATGGAGCTAATGTTGTGGTAGGGGAGGTGAAGTGCAGAGAGACAGGCAATTTTTTTAATAGTGTGTTGGAAGACAATAAGTCTTATGGAGAAAAGTAAAGCATGAATTGAGGGAGTGATTCAATTTTAAATAGGACAGTTGGGAAAGGCCTCTACTTGAGATGGTGTTGAGTGGAGACCCAGAGGAAATAAGGGAATTAGCCTTGTGGATACCTGGTGAGGTGGGGGGAAAGGGCGACAGTATTCCATGTGAAAAAGAGCCAGGGCAAACCATGCAGAGCAGGCATGTGCTGGGCATATTCCAGGAATGGCAGGGAGGAAGGGTGGCGGGTACAGAGTGAACCAGGGGACAAGCGTGGGAGATGGGTTCAGAGGGACAGGGGATCACGTTGCCCCCCGCCCTATGGGCCACTGTAAGGGCTTTGGCTTTTTCTCTGAGTGAAATGGGAAGCTCTTGGAAGTTTTAGCAAAATAGTGGCATGATCTGACCTCAGTGTTAACAGAATCTCGCTGCTGTGGAGAAGGGAGGCCAGGTGAGAGCAGGGTTTTAATAATAATCCAGTGAACAAGCTGATCGCCACAGGGCAGTACGGCAGGCTCTTTGCCGTGGTGCACTTTGCCAGCCACCAATGGAAGGTGACTTCTGAAGACCTGATTCTAATTGGAAATGAATTGGACCTTGTGTGTGGAGAGAGGATTCGACTGGAGAAGGTGAGACTGTCAGGCTTCTTTGTGTACTCAGGGACTTTGTCACCAAATACGCAATCCCCACTCCCCTGTTTATCACTGAGGAGGCTTCCTCAAGTCTGTGGTGAAGGCCAAAAAAGCCAAGGCTCGGAAGGGACAGGAGGGAGAGAGTGGGCGGCCGTGGAGGGCGGGGGCTGGCGGGCCGGGCGCCAGGAGGTGAGGGCAGGGCAGCCGCTGCCATCCAGAGGGGTGCCTGGCTCGGCTCATGTGCTCCTCAGAGGCAGACGGCGCGTTTCTCCAAGGATAAAACATGTCTTTACTGCTTTGCCTTACCGTCCCGTTAATGTGTTTCCATAGAAAGCTGTTTCATTGAGGACATAATAAAAATCCCAATTAGGGATGTAAAGAGTTTTCAAGCGCACCTTATGGGGAAGAGTGTTTATGCTTCTGCTAAAACACTACTCTGAGATTAGATTTGACAGCTGCTGCTGTTTTTAAACAGTAAGGACTGGTTTAGAGCTATTTCTCTGGGTATTAATTTATTTTACTGACCATTCAAAATTGTGTGGTCTGTCTTATTTAGCTGAGCATTTCTAGCGTTTAGTTAAAATTCTGTTTGCTGTGTTTTGGGGGGTCCATTTGACTTGCTTACTCTACTCATAAAATTATAACAATCTCCGCAGTAGTACTTTTGCTAGGATGTATTTTATTATTAATATGATGGAATATCTATATGACTTTTTTTATTTATTAAAACTCTCCTTTCTCGGGGCCGGCCTGTGGCTCACTTGGGAGAGTGCGGTGCTGATAACACCAAGGCCACAGGTTCGGATCCCATATAGGGATGGCCGGTTTGCTCACTGGGTGAGCATGGTGCTGACAACACCAAGTCAAGGGTTAAGATCCCCTTACCGGTCATCTTTTTAAAAAAAAAAAAAAACTCTCCTTTCTTTTGTGATGATAGAGTTTTTGTGCATTCACACCAAGGAGAACATTAAACTCTGTTTCTAAGATGGTCTCTCCCAACCTGTGATCTGAGCTCGACTATTTAGCTCAGAGCTGAACTAATTAACTTTGTAAAAGCTCTCTTCTTCTTAATGGCATCAGTGTCTCTGTCACGAGCTCATGAACAAGCACATTTATTTTTTTAATGTCTCAAATAAGTAGGACACTTCAGTATTGTATTTGTGAAAATTTTTTAAAAAGACATTATTTTGAAACATTAACGAAAAAATTATAGAAAGCCGCACCTAATGTAGATTATTTTGCATAATTTAGGAAATCCAGTGCTAGAGAGCATGTCATGCTGAAATTAACACTAAAGATACTTGTCTTTAGGACTGGCCATTTAGCTCAGTTGGTTAGAGTGCAGTGTTGGTAACACCAAGGTTTGGTTAAGAGTGCAGTGTTGGTAACACCAAGGTCAAGGGTTTGCATCCCTGTACCAGCGAGCCACCCAAAAAAAAAAATTTATTTTTTACTATTTGTCATCTAATATACATTGTCCATTGATGTTATAAAATATACTTTGTCTNCTCCTTTCACCTGATTCTAATTGAAAATGAATTGGACCTCTCAGGACTTGCACGCTCACTAGCCTACCGGCTCTTTATTACTAAAGAATGGGAATAACAAGGTGGAGGCCTGCCCCACCCCAGAGTTGTAGAATTGGAGCCAGGCATGGGCATTCTGTGAAGTCTGGGGGAAAAGCCCCGCATGCCAGGGTGCCAGTGCTCCTGGGAACAGCAGATTGACCCTTGCCTGCGGGGCAGGGAAGCAAGGCC